TAGGACCAAATCAAGGATCGCCTCTCCCCTGGTAGGTTCCATGACCATCTGCTCCATAGCACAGTCATTTAGAGTGTCTAGAAACTCAATCTCTTTCTCTCGACTAGAACACATATTGACCCAATCAATGTGTGGGTAGTTAAAATCACCTATTACGACACAGTGTTTTTGTCTAGCTGCTATCTTTAATTCATTCATCATTTTATAATCCTCCTCTATCTTTTGATCCGGTGGGCGATAACAAACTCCCAGTGTTAAGTTTCCTTTTGGCCCCCCTATTTCAACCCACAGAACTTCAAGAAGCGAATCCAATTCTCTTAGCCTCTCGATCTTTCTGGACTTTATACCCTCTCTGACATACAGAGCCACCCCACCTCCAACCCTTCCCCCCCTATCCTTCCGATATAATATATAACCGGGAATCACCGTATCCCACTGATTTTCCTCATCCCACCAAGTTTCTGAAATACCCACAATGTCTATTTTTCCCTCTGACACCAAGCACTCCAACTCCCCGATTTTACCTCGGACACTTCGAGCATTTGTATAGAAACAGCTGTAATTTCCCATACTGGTTAAGCCTGCCACCTTCCTCTTGCTATCTCTAGACCTTGTCAGGCAGTCCATGTCACTAGCCATGGTCTCAGTGGACAATTTCAATCCACCTCCCTGTAGAAAAGCAACAGGTACCCCCTCATCTTTCTGAGATGAGCCAACCCGAACCAGAGACTTTTCATCTCCTGTCGGCTTTACCCTCTCCACCAAATCCTTTATGAAACCCTGAAAAGTACCGGGCCCAGAATTGAGCTCTGTGGCACCCCACTAGACACCTCCCTCCAATCAGATGAAAGGCCATTGCCAGCTACTCTTCAGGAGCAGTTCTCCGATCAGTTTCCTATCCACCTAGCTATCCTAGAGTACAGTCCACAGTCCTCAACACAGTATGCAAGCTTTCAAGGTCACTAGAACTCTTCATCAGCATGGATTTTTAAAAGGGTTGGGATTGGGGTGAAAAGGTAACTTTAAGGTCTCTTCGTCAGCATCCTGTGTGTGTATAATTCCTTGCTGGCTTCAGTGGACAAAGGGCTTGCTGATACCAAATGGAGAAGTCAAAAAGCCTGTGCCTGTAGAAGCCAGCAAAGTATTCCACAGGAGATGCCGGCACAGAAGTATTATGGCCCCAAAGGTCTTTTTTCCTCATCACATGGCTTTTGGGTTTGTTTTGGATTTTGTTATGGCCCAACATGGCTACATGCTTGGTATGTCTACAAACGGAGGCGAGTGTGACTAATTGGCTCTGACAGCAGCAGCAGCCTGATGGTCCTTGAGAGGAACATTTGGTAGAGCAGACAGTAGTAGAAAGAGGAGGAAACTGCGAGCAGACAACAGAATGAGCCACAGCCAAAAAAGTATTATGAGATGAACAGTTTTAAAACAGAGAGAAAAGGCAACACTGACAATACTTGATAGATTTAAAGTTGGTATAAAATAAAACAATAATTATGCAGAATCAGGCTCTTCCTCTCTGTTCAATCTTTACTTAGGATGGACACGAGCCAGGAAAATGGGGTTCTGTTTGTGGTGTGCCAGGTTCGGGAGACAGGAACCGTCACAAACTTTTGGCACCAAATGAACCAGTTTGGTTTGTGAGGTTTGTGATGCAGTAGAATGCCCCCCAGTGTGCTAGAGACACCAAAGTCATATGGGATCTCCAGCTGACTTTTCTCTATCTGCCCTCCAAGTTTGGTGAGGATTGGATGTATGGGGTCTGAGTTATGCCCCCCCCCCCGAAGGTGCCCCCTGGAAAGTGCTTTCTGGAGAAACAACAGGCCCAGGCTCAAGAGTGTATAGAATGGACCCTGTGCAAGCTAGAGACATCAAATTCACAGAAGACTTTCCCCTAATACTCCTCTACATGTCCTCCGTGGTATGTGTAGATTAGATTTAGGGGGTTCAAGTTATGGCCCACCAAAGAAGATACCCCCTGGAAAATGCATTTAGGGGAAGTGTCAGGAGCAGGTTCAAAAGTGCAAGCTACACACACCAAACACACAGGGAACCTCACCCTGCCACACACTCCTCAACAATCTCTCCAAATTGGGGGTGGATTATGGACACACCCCCCCCCCAGAAAAGGTCTCCCCAGATCTCTCTCTGGAAAAGACAGCTGCAGTTACAGGAGTCTATGGAAAGGCTCAGGAACAAGCCAGTGACATGAAACTCACAGGGAAACCTCACCCGGGCACACAACCACCACCACCCAGCCAGACCCTGGAAGCAAGGCAAACCTCCCCCCTACATTCACAGCCCCCCCCCCCAATGTCTCCAAAGGCAGGTTCTGAAGGACCGGAGAAAAAGGGAGAAGAAGAGATTGGATTTATACCCCGCCTTTCACTTGGAGTCTCAGAGCGGCTTACAAACTCCTTTCCCTTTCCCTCCCCACAACAGACACCCTGTGAGGTGGATGGGGCTGAGAGAACTCTGACACAAACTGCTCTTTTTCAAGGACAGCTGTGTCAGAGCTTGTGACTGACCCAAGGTCACATCAGCAGGTGCAAGTGGAGGAGGGGGGAATCAATCCCAGTTCTCCCAGATTAGAGTCCGCGCACTTAACCACTACACCAACATCCCCAGAGTTTTAACATGGTCTCCCCAAAGTAACCCCACGGCAGCTTGGCAGGCACCTTAAGCACACAACACAAGCAAGGGAAGCATGCCCACAACTCTCACAGCCCCCCCCCCAGCTGAAACATCAACCAGGGTGTATTCTATACAGCAAAAGAATAGAAACACATGTTGAACTGGCAGGACCATTTCCAAGTCTCCAGTGGCAGGTTCTGAAAGACAGAAAGGCAGACAACCCTGGAGTTTTGATGGGGCTCTCCCAAAGTAACTCCATGGCAGCTCTGCAGAGACCCCTGGCAGGCACTGGAACCCTAGGTGAAATTTCTGGTTATTCACCATTATCAGAACACATCGTACAGATAATAGATCACATGTTGTGAATTGTACAAATGAAAAGGAAAGGGGTAGTCAAATTGGCTTGCTTGTACAAGCAGATGTTTGCTGAAATGGGTGTTCTTTCATGAGGTAGGTGTTTTGTTATGAGGTAGGTATTGGGTGAGGAGATTTTCTGCTAGGGCCATGCTCCAGTGGGCTGGCAGGATGGGTTTGGTGCCCAGGGATGGGGGCCTGTGGTACACAGCGTGGAAGACTTCTTCCCCCCATTATGAGCACCCTTTGTACCCACTTTAACCCTCATGGTATACAGAAGTGTTCACAAACAGGAAGGGTGGGAGGGTATAAATGTGATCCTTAGCTGAGGCACCCAGTAGCTAAGGCCTTCAGCTTAAGGTGAGCAGAGAGATGGGGTGGCTCAGAGCCCTGAGTCCATCTAACACCCAAACCCCATCAGGGGACAGGTATTCACAATCAGGAATAAATTAATGTGCCCTGCTTTTAACAAGTTCCCTGCCTGTCTAACTGCCAACACCCATCAGAGGAGAGGGTGTGGAGCTGAGGGTATATATATGGCATTCTAATCCCATAAATCAGAAAGGGAACTCTGTTATTGGTAGCCAGCAGTGCCTGTTATGCTTTGGAGGGCCCCTACTGGTGTTTCCAAGGTAGAGAATTCTGCCCCCCTGTTGCTTTGAAGTTTGGTAAACATTTCGATTGAGTGGAGGCAATCTGGAAATATATCCATTCATGAACCACATGAACCATGCATCAGCTTAAAGGTAACCATTTTAGCACTAGTGGATGGATGGATGGATGGATGGATGGATGGATGGATGGATGGTTTATATCCAAGAATGGAGGAATAGGATTATCTGGTTTCCTATTTTCAATTGTTACCGAAGTCTTGTTACCAAAGTCCTATTTTTAACTGTTGTTGTTAGTATGGTCAACAGTTACAAAAATCTGTTATTGACAATAAAATAAAATACATAAAAGCCCAACCTTTTATATTATACCATGCATTAAATACATTTCAAATGCTTCCGGTATGATTTGGTGCAACTTCCCACTCCACATTAAGGTTTGCAGTTATAAAATCTTCCCTATACAAATCCAAAATGCAACACACATTTAGACTGCGGTCACACACTAAGTAATTCACTTTCAGTGCACTTTCCAGCTGGATTTTACTGTGTGTGAACTGGCAAAATCCAGTTGGAAAGTGTATTGAAAGTGGATTATTTAGTGTGTGAGCAGCTTTTGAGGATTATTTGTTTAATTAGAAAAATGTATATGCTGTTTCTTGAGGCAAGTGAGAAAGAAACCCCCCCACTAACACTATAATGACCCAGTACAAATTATCAATAGTAATAGTAGCACAGAAGACCTTTCAGTAGCCTAAACTGATCTTTCTAACACAGTCGTCCTTCCCCATTAAAAAAAAAACTGAGTAAAAAATGGTTGGGCCTGGCACCTAAAATACAGGAAGGTAGGTGCCAGATGAGCACACAGAGAGAGGACATTACTAAAACAAGTAAACGATAGCCTTTGATCCTGCAACACACAATACCATCCAGTCCTTTAGTATGATGTAAATGGAAGTTAACTGTATAGGTCAATGTTTTTAAAAAGTCTGAAGGCTGTTAGGTCAACTTTCTTCCCTTGGTTATTACCTAAAAAACAAAACAAAAAACTGGTGTTTACTGTGATAGACCACTTCTGGCTTACATAGATGTGTTAAGTTATCTGTGAAATTCCTTCATATTTCTCAAAACAATAATAATCTGAGCATCCTCCTTGGCTTTTGGAGTTGCTAAAGCATTCTTTGGTGGTATGTTAGGATGTGCAGTTCCATGTATAACACCAGTGAAATTTTTACAAAACATACCTTTGGTTCTTAGAAAGTTGTGTTCTTTAGGTATCATTTCTTTCTGTTGCTGTTAACACACTAGCTTGGCATGGGTACTGCAAATCCAATGTTTACAGTTATTACTATAGTAACCGTATCCTTAGTCACCAAGTTATTGTTCTGATTGTGAATGGCACTGCACAAGGACTGTATTTCTAGCAGTGTAGCAGGTAAGGTGTGCTTTGCCTTGTGAACGGATCCCCATGCCTGCTGAGCGAATAGTGATGGAAAGCATAATACATTAAAGCCATCTGCAGGGGTGGCTTTATCACACTTCTCAACATCAGGCAATTGTGACAACCAACTCATGATAAATCAGCTATGTCAGTCCAGTATTTACAGTGTAGCTTATGTCATGTGGTTTTTTCAGAGAACCCACATGTCCTCTTACTGAGCTACACAACCAGAATTATTCTTTCAGGTCTTCCATTTGTTTCTTGCCAATCAAACCAGCTCATGGAGATTAATTTGCCATAGGTATAACACAGGATCAGTCACAAGCATTTTATTGTATCTTATTACGGCAAGTCCATCCAATGTGGTGTAGTAGTTGGACTAGGACCTGGGAGAACCAGGTACAAATCCTTATTTGCCATAAAACTCCCTAGGTGACCTTGGGCCAGTGGTTTCCTCTCTCAGCCTAGCTCACTTCAAAGGGTTGTTGTGAGGATAAAATGGAGGTGGGGAGAGAATTATATATGCCACTCTGAGCTTCTTGGAGGAAGGGCTGGATAAAGATGTACTTAAATATATCCTGTTCTTGGCCTGTTTTGCACAGATCTTTTGGGGTTCAAATACCTTTCTATTTAATGGTTTTTACAGATACTTGATACAGATATTTAATGGTTTTACAGATACTTTTACAGATACTCAGAGGACAGCGGAAGACAGGAAGGCCTGGCGTGATCTGGTCCATGGGGTCGCAAAGAGTCGGACTCGACTGTGCAACTGAACAACAACAACAGATACTTGTCTTATAATATACTGGGCTTCAACCCATGGAGTTGGTACCCTGAATTGGGAGCACCTCCAGTAACTCTTTTGGAAGGAGCCGCAGAGCAGGGAGCCAGGACACCAGGCCTTCTGTCCATCTTTACATACATGCTGAGAAGAGCAGCAGGACAGCAAGGTGAGGTTTCTCAGTGATGGAGAGGAATCCTCCATCGCCCCAACCCTTGGCTTTGTTTGTCAGTTCAGTATATCCTCTGGTGTTTGGCTGGCCTTTCCTGCTCAAGGTCCTGGCCTGGACAGCAGCAAGTTCGTAGCACTGGTCCCCCACTTCCTGTCACTTAGCTCTGCTGTCACTTTAGATGGGATGGGCTTGTTTGAAGCAGCAGGGCTCCCTATTGTTAGGGGCTGGTTTTGTCCCATCTGAGTGGCACTGTAGTTTCTCTCAACAGGCAATGGCGGATATTACTAAGGTGGGACCTGTTCTCCCCCTCCCCTTTATTATGAACTACTTCCATATAGATCAGTGACTGTTGTATGAGAACATGTTTTTACTGTAACAATGTCACTGCAACATCCTGTATATCCTGTATAATGAAGTGATTCAGAATGAATAATAAAGCACCAAAGACTCCCCCAAACTGTCTATTTAATGGTTTTCATTAAACAGAACACTGTCTTTCCCAAAACTATCAGCATGTTCTGTTTCCCAGCCCTGTTCCTTAGAAGGAAAAGGGTATCAATGTAGTAAATAAAGGAACCTGTGTGCAAGCATGCAGATTGTTACTGTGTAAGCACCTTCCTATTCCAAAACCAGGAGTGAGGGCAACCTGGATCATCTGCCGCATAGAATGGTGCCCAGAAGAGGCACAGTTGTTCACCTTCGTCTGCTTGCCTGCAGCATGACAATTGTACTTGTTCCTTGGGCTCAAATGGGAAGGAGAGAGGTGTTGAGGTCACTCTTGAGATTTTATCTACCCTGTGAGGCACACCAAAGATCACTGACCAAAGTTGTCAGTAATTATATCACAAACAACTGTAATTCTCCTGCAGTACATTCCGTGTTTTTGAAAAGTCATAAATGTGGAGAAGTGGTTAAAATGTTGGACTACAACCCAGGAGACACTGAACTTCCTGTTGTGCTAGGAAGCTCACTGAGTGACTCTGGGCCAACCACTCTCTTTCTCTCTGGGTGTCATAAAATAGGAAGAAACAGGTATGGTACCCTGAGCTCTTTGGGGAAATGGCTAAATATGCACTAGATACATCCAAGGTGATGCCACAAGGAGTCTCTCAGCCTCACCTGCACAGGGTTCTTCTAGGGAAGATAAAACGGGAAAGGAAGAATTTATGTCGGTAGGCTGCCTTCAGGAGCTATGGAATAAAAGAAGGCGCACTAGACAGACGTTGGCGCCACAACCATCCCCACACGAATAAAGGCAGGCTGCTGGAACGCGTGCCGAAGGCGCTTTGGCGTTTCGTGGCGCTCGTGCGGCCGCCCTAGGGCTGGTGGCGACGCCACTGCGCTGCCGCCTCGCCTCCCCGGCAGCAAAGGCAGGCCAGGCCGCGGCGGCGGCGCCCCAGGCAGCGACAGCCACCGCCGCACCAGGCCCCGGCCAACAACATGTCCGTCTTTCCCTCCCCGTTGGCTTCTTCGCAGGCGCCTCCGCCTCCTCTCCCCGGCAGGACCCGCCCGCGGTGCGGCCTGTCCCCTCCCTCCTGAGGGAGCAGCCGGCGGCAGCCGAGCGGGGAAAGGGGAGGGTCTAGAGCGCTCGACGGGCGCACGGAGCCGGGCAACCGAGCGAACCTGGCGGTGGCGGCGGCGGCGGCAGCGACGACAGCCCAGCCGAGCCTCCCGCCGCCCGGGCTGCGGCATGTCTGAGGGTGGCGCGGCCGGCGCGGG